ATATTATGCACACAATATATTGAGAACTATACAGTGGTTTTTCGTCAAACTTTCAGGGATAATGCGTTTTAAAAAGCCATTGTTACATTTGAAACAATTTTGGAAAATTCACTACCAGTTCCATGTTATGGGCAATTTCCTGATTTTTAAATGGATTTTTTTCCACGGCAGATCTAAAGAACGGCTAAAGAGATGAACTGGAGACTTATTAGAGATGATAGAACATGACTTCTAGATTTGTGGAATTGCCTTTTTGTGCATCGTCAATAGTTCCGGTTGCTACTGGAAGCGAATTAAAAATGTCAAATTTTTCAACTTTTTTGTCTCTCAATATTTTTTAATGATTTTTCTGGGGGATAATAGAGACTTTCCTAAGAAATGGTCCCACTAGCATAATGGTTAGAGTGTTCAATTTTCACGCGGGCAACCTGGACTCAATCCCCAGAATGTCTGGATTTTTAGTACCTTTTTTCAGCTGAAATATTGTACTGTATCTTTGAAATGATATTTGGTATAATTTTCTGTTTGAATTATGAGATATATTATACAATTTAAGTTTTATAGTATTTCATGTATAAAGGAGTTAAAAGGAATGCACAACGTAATACAGATAGTGTTATAAGTGAGGAATCAACTTCTCTCATGACGGAGAAGGGATGGAAGACCTTCTTGTTGCCATTGCAACAAGTTTCTAGTTATTATTCTTTTTTCTGACTAAATTTTAGGGATGGCAATTGATTACAGAATTGCTAATTGGTTAACCGCAAGATGTTCCGACCAATTAACCAGTTAATCGTATCAAAATATACGTATTTTGGTAATTGTTTTTCAAGTAGCTCTGTCCATATACACAAATAGACCCAAATAAGATGATAGAAGTTAAAACATTCCGTTAGTCTTGATTCTGTATCAGAAAACTATGGGTATATATTTTTTATTTAAATTTCAGTAGACAAGAAAAAAAAATTGAGAAAACCATAAAAAAAGCCTAAGAAATCTTTGATAATTTTCCAGAGCAGATGTCACAAAAGTCCTTTCTGCATTTTCACTATGATAATCAAAACTACATTTGAACTCTATAACCCTTAATTTACAATGTTTGTTTAATAATTAAATTGGATTGAAAACTGAAAACAACAAACACACCAATTCACAGTGCTCAATGATTCAATTATTATCATTAAAGAATTACAGTACAGTTTGGGTAACAACATGGTTTTTTCACAGTAATTCACACTACATAAATTGACCAATTACGCAACGGTCTCAATCAAACAAACAAACAAGATTCATAATTACATGTACGTCCAACTTCGATCCTTTAAATCCTGAATGATCATCCTTTGTGCAGAGATTTCTCTTTTTCTAAAATAATTTTTAAAAAAATATGTTAAATTTAACGATTATTTTATTTTTTGCCGATTCATCGATTACAGATTTTCTAATCGATTGCCATTGTTCCGACTGAGTAATCAGTTAACCGGTTACAAATTGCCATCCCTACTTAATTTTGTGCAGGCAATTTCTCAAAAACTATTCAGTAGTTTTCAATGAAACTTTCACAAAAATTGAGTCATTATATGAACTTTGTTCATCATAAGGAAAATTTGGAAAATTCGATTCCGGTTCTAAATTATGGACAATTTCCTGATTTTTAAATGGAATATTATCCGCAGCATATCTAAAGAACGAATAAAGGTATGAACTGGAGATTTATTAGAGACTATGGAACATGTCTTTTAGATTACCAAAATTGCCTTTGCAAGTGTCTTTACTACTTCCGGTCGCGACCGGAAGCGAATTTAAAAAGTCAAATTTTTCAACTTTTTTGTTTTTCATTATATTTTGATGATAGTAGGGTTAATAAAGACTCTTTTCAGAATGCATAATATATAATTTGTTTGAAAATTGATAATAAATATTATGCTAATTATTATTAATATTTTTAAGACAAATATTTTGCAAGCAATATAACAAGAACTATTCAGTTGTTTTTCGTCAAACTTTCAGGGATAATGCGTTTTAAAAAGCCATTGTTACATTTGCAAGAATTTTGGAAAATTCACTTCTGGTTCCATGTTACAGGCAATTTCCTGATTTTTGAATGGAATTTTTTCCACGGCAGATCTAAAGAACGGCTAAAGAGATGAACTGGAGATTTATTAGAGATGATAGAACATGACTTCTAGATTTGCAGAATCGCCTTTTAGTGCGTCGTCAATAGTTCCGGTCGCTACTGGAAGCGAATTAAAAAAGTAGAATTTTTCAACTTTTTTGTCCCTCAATTTTTTTAATGATTTTACTAGAGATAATAGAGACTCTTATAAGAAATGGTCCCACTAGCACAATGGTTAGCGTGTTCAATTTTCACGTGGGCGACCTGGACTCAATCCCCAGAATGTCTGGATTTTTTGTACCTTTTTTCAGCTGAAATATAGTACTGTATCTTTGAAATGATATCTGGTATAATTTTCCGTTTGAATTATGAGATATATTATACAATTTACGTTTTATAGTATTTCATGTATGAAGGAGTTAAAAGGAATGCTCAATGTAATACAGATAGTGTTATAAGTGAGGAATCAACTTCTCTCATGACAGAGAATGGACATAAGACCTTCTTGTTGCCATGGCAATAAGTTTCTAGTTATTATTCTTTTTAAGGTCTGCCGTTTCAGTCCGAAAACCTTATAGTGATTGTACTGTTTTTTCCCCTTTCCTTGTCCCTTCGATTTCTCAGAGATGGCTGGACAGATTTTCTTGAAATTTTCAGGGATGATAGAGAATTGAAATACCCCCAGACGTTTTTTTTTTTATTTTTTCAAAATTCACTTCCAGTGTCAGATTTGTCCAATTTCTGTTTTTTTCAAAAATATTTTGTCCGAGTCATATCTCAGAAACGGTAAGAGATTAAGACACCAAACTTTTATGGATAATAGAGCTTGAGGAGTAGGCACATCCATTTGGGTTAAGAGTGACAACCATTACCTCCGGTCGTCACAGGAAGTGATCAAGAAATCGAAATTTTCAACTTTTCTTTTTTGAATATTTTTTTGCATCACATTATTGCTTCTCATTTGTAGTTTTGAAATATGTTGGTCCCATTGGAAACAAAAACATCAACTTCCGGTTATGAGAGAAAAACCACATAATTTGAGCATTTAACCCATAAATATCGCTTATAGATAAATTATTTGAAATGATTTTTATATATGTTATTCAGACTGCAAATGTCTAAAGTAACGTCAAATATCTTTATAAAATTCACTTCCGGTCGCATGTTTAATGTCTGCAAAATGAAAACTTTTCCGAGATCTCAGAAACGGTAAGAGATTGAGACACCAAACTTATAAGTCCAATGGCAAACATCTTTAAAATTCCGTTTTCAAGAACAGCAAAACCATGATTAGTTATATGCATTGAAGTCGCTTGTATTGGCCACACTTTTTTTCTTCAGAAAATTGTTCAAAATTAGGGATGCGCTCAATACATAGGAACAAAATACAACCCCCTTTTTTTCAGGTCACTTTCTCAGTGCCGAGAACCATTTTCCCGATCCATTTGAATTGATTACTCTTTGTAACCAATTACGTCAAAGTTTATTGCTTTTACTCTAATTTCAGAGAGTCATATTCGTCAGCCATACCTGGGTTCCAACATTATGCTATGATCAAAATTGAATGCAAGAATATGCATGCACATATGCTGGATTCTGATTGGCTAATACTTATATTACTGTATCTCTCATAGTTTTCAATTAAAATCTTTGAGATTTCACACATAGGTATTTATTGTTGGTCTCTTTTCGAGAAATTCATGAGATCAGAAATATCTAGAAAACATGGGCAAGTACGTGTGCTGAAACCTGATTGGCTAATACTTAAAGGACTATACTGGTGTTGTTTTTATTTTGAAAATAAAGTGTAGATTTATTAAACAAAACAATTGACTTATTTAATGAAGCTTATAGAGAATGAAACCCAAAGTGGAGTAGGGGAGCATTTGGGGAACATCTGTAACGGTGCCTGTTACAATTAATACTGTTTTTCAGATGTAATATTACGTGATTGCTATCCGTAGCTACCTTAACTTATATTCATAGTTAATTTCAAGAATTTTTCTTTATCACAATTTATCCCATTTATTACCGTATATACTCGCCTATAAGTCGGTTTTTTGGGAGATAAACTTTGGTTCAGAACTCTTTATCCGACTTATACGCGAGTTATAAAAAGATTGGTATTTTAGCAGGTCGATCCCTCTAATTTAAGCTTAAGAAATACAACCGACTTATAGGCGGACCGACTTATAGGCGAGTATATACGGTAGCTTGGAAAATCAAGCAAAAGTTCACCATTCTGCTTCAGTGAACTATAACAGGGTCGTTTTTCCTTGGGGGTACTGTAGATTCCTAAATATACGCGAGGAATTAATTATCGCGTAATTACGCGAGAAGCACCACTCGCGAAATAAAATTACTCGCTTTTATTTTTATGGTTCTGAAATCAATGTAAAATCCCTTGATCAACCGTCCACTCGCGAATTATTGTTTTCGCGATTTGACGTGAAAGAGCCATTTCGCGATAATAAGTACTCGCGAAAAATAAGGAATCTACAGTATATACTGTGGCATACCATAGGCTACCATAGATATCAGTGGCCATACTGGGGCCTACTTTAGGTAACTGTACCATGCTTGGGAAACATACAGTGGCATACTGAGAATTACAGTTATGTACAGAGGAGGCATACCATACCATACTGCAGATATACAGTAGATAGCTGTGGAAATGCTGTAGACAGGATTTTCATACGGACAGGGGTTTAGAAAGCCAGTAGTGATATTTTCATATATTTCATAGATATTTAATCTATGGACCCTTTATTGTGTTACATTATATTTAAGTGACCGTTAAGGCCCTTGGGCCTCTTGTATTATATGGTTACAGCTTTTTGAGACTGTAAAAGATAGATAATTCCATATATGTTACCAATTTCAGATCAATAGAGTAACACTGAAAATGGATGTGTCATTCACAGACCATTCACATGTCATTGGAAAGGGAGGCAATAATATAAAGAAGGTCATGCAGCAAACTGGATGTCACATTCACTTTCCAGACTCTAATCGTGGAAACAACATTCAAGAAAAAAGCAATCAGGTATAAGGATAGATCAGAGGTTTTGAGAACAAATTATTTTATGGGGATAGAGACATTTGATTTCTACAGAGAAATACTAATCAGAAATTCACCCATTTTGCTGTATAGCAGGTTGCTTATTAGCTCTTCTGAGCCAAAGGCTCAAAGAGCTAATGCTATGGCCATTTGTGCGGTGTGCGGTGTGCGTAAACTTTTTTGAATATGGGCCCATAACTCAAGAACCCCTTGGCCAATTATTGTCAAATCTGTCACAGGGTATCATTGGCCCAAGTGCTCCCTTTTGTACTAAAACTGGGGTTGTGACCCTTTAACAAGGGGAGATAATTAGGAAAATAGAAACAAAAGTACTGGTTGCTAAAAAATCTTCTTCTCAAGAACCACTGGGCAGATTATCACCAAACTTACACAAAAGGATGAGGATATGTTGTAGATTAAAAATTGTTCAAGGCATCACCCTGGGGCAAAGGGCGTGGTCTCAAGGTTACTTCAAAGTTGACCAAAAATGACATTTTATTAAAATGTTGATATTTTGCTTACTATAAGGACTAGGATCATCAAATCTTGTCAGTTGATGCATCTAAGGACCTCATATCATGTTGACTCAAAAGTAGGTCCCGGTGACCTACTTTTTAAATTTTGCGGCATTCTTTTCAAAATGATTTAGAGGCATATTTTGAACAATTTAAGGCCTATGATCATCAAACTTTGTCAGTTGATGCATCTTGGGTCCTCGAAGTACGTCAACTAAAAAGTAGGTCACCTTGACCTACTTTTTAAATTTTATGGCTAATCTTTTTCAAAAGAATTAAGGTCATTAATTCGAATACCGAGAGGTTTAGAATCATTAAATCTTGTAAGATGATGCATCTTGGGGCCATTAAACATATTTATTAAAAAGTAGGTCACAGTGACCTACTTTTTGAACTTTGCAGGAATTTGATTTCAAAGCGTTTTAGAGGCATAATTTGGACGTTTTAAGTCCTATGATTATAAAACTTTGTAAGTTGATGCATATTGGGTCCTCAAAAAAGGTCAACTGAAAAGTAGGTCACCATGACCTATATTTCAATTTGTATGACTATAATTAAATATTTCAGGTACTAATTGGCTTAGAATCATCAAACTTTGTCAGTTGATGCATCTTGGATCTTCGGAGTAGGTCGACTAAAAAGTAGCTCATGGTGACCTACTTTCAAAAATTTATGGCTTTAATTAAATATTTCAGGTACTAATTGGCTTAGAATCATAAAACTTTGTCAGTTGATGCGTCTTGGGTCCTTGGAGTACAACAATTGAAGAGTAGGTCACTTTGACCTACTTATAAAATTTTATGGTTATAATTTTAAAAAATATTTTAGGTATTAATTGGCTTAGCATCATCAAACTTAGTTGATGGGTCCTCAGAGAATGACAAGTGATAAGTAGGTCACCATGACCAACGCTCAGGTACTAATTGGCTTAGAATCATCTTGGGTTCTCAGAGTGTGAATTGGAATTTCAAGGGTTTATCTAAATATACAGGATACTTAGAGGCTTCAAATAGAAGTGATAGGTTGTACAGTTTATCAGAAGAGCGATTCAAAGCCAATGGGCCTCTTGTTTTAGCTTTTTACACCCCCTCTCCGAAGGATAGGGGGTGTACTGTTTAACCTTTGAGTGTCTGGCTGTCTGTCTGTGTGTGTGTGTCTGTCTGCCTGTCTGTCCGTAATAAATTTTCTAAGGTTTTCTCAGCAACTACTCTTTGCAGATGCTTGAAATTTTAACACGCTCTTTGTTTCAGCATGCCATGTTTTGGGATTCATTTTTGTACAATCTGATGTCAACTTGTTGTTTATCCCTGCATCTGTTGTAGCAAATATTCTTCACAGTTTTCTCAGCAGTTACTCATTGCAGATGCTTGAAATTTTAGCACACTCTTTGATTAGGCATGCCATATGGTAGGATTCATTTTTGTACAAATCGGATATCAATTTCCTGTTTATCTGTACATCTGTCCGTACCAAATTTCCATTGCAGTGTTCACAGCAACTACTCAAGGCACACTCTTTGTTTAGGCATACTATGTGGTGGGATTCATTGTATCCCTGCTCCAAAGGAGAGGGGGTATACTGTTTTACCCTTGTGTGTCTGTCTGTCCATCTGTCTGAGTAGCTATGTGTGTGTCCTTAACAAATTTTTTTTGCAGTTTTCTCAACAACTACTCATCGCAGATGCTTAAAATTTAAGCACACTCTTTGTTTTGCATGCCGTATGGTGGGATTTATTTTTGTATGAATCTGATGTCAGCTTCTTGTTTATCTATGCGTTGAATTTTATTTTTGTAAAATTTCATTAAGATTTTCTTAGCCTTCCATGAGAACACTCCAACTTCTTTCTGTGGCCATAGATTCTATTTTTTGCAGAAACCACTTTTATACTTTTAAACCAATAAAGTTTTAAAAAGATTGCATGGGTTGTTACTGAGAAAAATGAAATTTAAAAAAGAATTCACTTTTAAGCTCATCTGAGCTAAAAGCTCAAGTGTTAAATTGAAGGGCTAAGCCCTCCTCCAAGGGGAGATAATCAAAAATAGGGTGGGGTCTTTAAAAAGTCTTCTTTTCAAGAACCACTTGGCCAGAAAAAGTGAAACTTACATGAAAGCTTCCTGAGGTAGCATAGATTCTAAATTGTTTAAATCATGCCCCCCTGGGGGTAGGATGGGGCCACAGTAGGGAATCAAAGTTTTAAATTATAATAAAAAGGGAAAATTTTTAAAAATCTTCCCAAGAACCATTGGGCCATAAATACATATACATATGGAAGAGTAAGTGCTTGTATAGAAAAGTATTGACAAAAAAGTTAAAACCGTAAAAGAGTAGTGCACCCCATAAAAAAGTGATATATTTCAGTGGGCCCAGACCCTTCGTTTTGGTTGCTTCAGAGTTGACCAAAAATGATGTTTTGTTAAAATGTTGATATTTTGCTTTTGCTTACTATGAGCATAATCAAATCTTATCAGTTGATGCATCTTAGGACCTTATATCATGTAGACTCGAAAGTAGGTCACGGTGATCTACTTTTTGAATTTTGCGTGCATTCGTTTTCAAATTGATTAAGATCCATATTTTGGAGACTTAAAGGCTTATGATCGTCAAACTTGTCAGTTTATGCATCTTGGATCCTTAGAGTACGTCATCTGAAAAGTAGGTCACTGTGACCTACTTTTTGAATTTTATGGCTAATCTTTTTCACAATGTTTAAGGTCATTATTTCGGATACTGAGAGGTTTAGAATCATCAAACCTTGTAAGTTGATGCATCTTGGAACCTTAAAATATATTTATCAAAAAGTAGGTCACAGTGACTTACTTTTTAGCTCACCTGAGCTGAAAGCTCAAGTGAGCTTTTCTGATCACTCATTGTCGGTCGTCCGTCCGTCTGTCAGTTCATCTGTAAACTTTTCACATTTTCAACTTCTTCTCAAGAACCAGTGGGCAAATTTTAACCAAACTTTGTACAAAGCATCCTTGGGTGAAGGGAAGTTTAAATTGTTAAAATGAAGGGCCAAGTCCCCTAAAGGAGATAATCAAGAAAAGACAAAAATTGGGTGGGGTCATTAAAAAATCTTCTAAAGAACCACTGGGCCAGAAAGGCTGAAACTTATGTGGAAGACTCATGGGGTAGTGTAGATTCTAAAGTTTTCAAATCATGACCCCCGGGGGTAGGGCGGGGCCACAATAAGGAATCCAAGTTTTTACATTGAAATATGTAGTAAAAATCTTCAAAAATCTTCCTCTCAAGAACTACTGGGCCACAAAAGCTGAAACTTATGTGGAAGCATCCTGGGGTAGTGTAGATTCTAAATTGTTCAAATCATGACTCCCGGGGGTAGGGCGGGGCCACAATAGGGAATCCAAGTTTTACATTGAAATATGTAGTAAAAATCTTTAAAAATCTTCTCAAGAACCATGGGTCCAGAAAAGCTGAAACTTAAGTTGAAGCATCCTGGGGTTGTGTAGAATCTAAATTGTTCAAATCATGACCCCCTTGGGTAGGGGGGCCACAATAGGGAATCCAAGTTTTACATGGAAATATGTAGAAAAAATCTTCAAAAATCTTCTTCTAAAGAACCACTGGGCCAGAAAGGCTGAAACTTATGTGGAAGACTCCTGGGGTAGTGTAGATTCTAAAGTTTTCAAATCATGACCCCCGGAGGTAGGGTGGGGCCACAATAAGGAATCCAAGTTTTTACACTGAAATATGTAGTAAAAATCTTCAAAAATCTTCTTCTCAAGAACCACTGGGTCATAAAGGCTGAAACTTATGTGGAAGCATCCTGGGGTAGTGTAGATTCTAAATTGGTCAAATCATGACCCCCCAGGGGTAGGGCGGGGCCACAATAGGGAATTCAAGTTTTACATTGAAATATGTAGTAAAAATCTTTAAAAATCTTCTCAAGAACCACTGAGCCAGAAAAGCTGAAATTTATGTGGAAGCATCACTGGGAAGTGTAGATTCTAAATTGTTCAAATCATGACCCCTGGGGGTAGCAAGGCTCGACATTAACGCTTGTCCGCTTGTCCGGTACCAGTGAAAAATAATTACGGACAAGTGAATATTGCGGGTACTTGTCCGATTGGACAAGTGCATTTTAATATAAAGAAATCTCCAAATACTGTTGAACAGGTTGGGCACAGTTCCTTTTTCGAGGAAGTATTGCTATAAAACGGGATTATGCCTCCTCTCAGTAATAAAAACATTACTGTATATGGGAATTTTCACTCGTATACACTCTATTCTCATGTTTGCTTTGAATAAAAGATTAAGTGCAAGAATATTTTCACATCCTCTAAATATTTATAGTCTGTTAGGTGTATGTATGCTCAAAACTACAATATTTATCGCTGCAAAAAGCTGAAAGAGAGTGATGAAATATTTCTACGATATAAATTTCATACGGAAGCTTATCTGTGTTAAAATTGTAAGATTGAATACGTTCAGCACTTGCTAACTCGTTCATGAAGTTATACGTTCTGAATTTAACTTTATATCATTTCTTTCAAAGACATCGTAAAAATAATTTTTAATACGACTGCTTCTTTTACAGATGAAAATAATTATTTGAAATATAAAATTTTAAAAAGATAGTCATTCAAAGATGGTTTTAGAATGAATGCCCTTATAAAATTCCATATTTTTCATATCATTTATCAACAGGGAAAATTAAAGTAAAAGTCGTGGATTACTGGTGCACGTGAGTTTAAATTCCTATGCATGTTAAAAGATGTCACCTCCACGAAACCAAGCTATGAAATTTTCCGTTTTTTAACAAATAATAATATACTTGTAAGGGAAATATTCACATCCGTTTGAAGAATACTCATGATGTCGTAAGATTAAATCTCATCTTGCTCCTGTCTGCAGCACTAAAGGACCGAATTTTTTTGTCAGCGAGGTTGGTTTAATAAAGTTTAAACACATCACATTGTATTTTTCATGCACTTTTTATTTAAAAAACGGATTAAGGCATTATTTAAAAAAAATGATGAAAATTCCCATATACAGTAATGTTTTTTTATACGCCCGTCTTAAGACGGGACGTATTATGTTATAGCCTTCATGTCCGTCCGTCTGTTAGCTTTTTTGTGTCCAGCTCATAACTTTAAAACTATAAGGCCTAGAATTATCAAACTTTGTCAGGTGATACGTCTTGGGTAGAAGGTGTGTCGCACATTAAAAGTATGTCGCTCTGACCTTTAATTAAGATGCTATGGCCAAATATGGAAAAATCCTGTCTGGCTTATAACTAGAAAACTATTAGACTTAGAATCATCAAACTTGGCCAATTTATGCATCTTAGGTAGAAGGTGTGTTGCGACCTATTTCAAGGTCACTGTGACCTTTAATTTAGTGAAATTTAAAAAAAAAACTGTGTCTCTATACTATTAAATTACACAATCCCCAAAAATGTAAGAATGTTGCAGTAAAAAATGTTAAATCAAGAAAATACTAATTTTTTTTTCATTATATACTTTACAGCAATCTATAACAAATGTAATGTTATCAGAGAAATTCCACCTCTCCCATGGGTGTAATCATCAAGCACTGGTCAATGAGAATTTTGATAACAGAAAATTACATGTCAAATTAGAGAGAAATTAATGAGTTTAGTGTGAGGAGCTGACTGGTAGAGCATCTCTGATAAAGCAGAATGTTATTTCAATAGTGGTTGCAACCTGTGTTTGGATTTGAAATACACTCTCAACCACTATTGAAATAATTATTTCAATAGTCAATGTTATTTCAATAGTGGTTGCAACATTTGTGCTTGTAAAATAAAATGCATCCATCTACAGGAGTTATTTTTCAATCTACAGGAGTTATCGTTATTCAAAATATTTTTTAGTGAAAAAATTATTAATTGATTATAAAAGTTCTGCATCTGAAATTTTTGTAACAATTAAAACAATTATATGTTAAGAGATAGAAATATCTCTCAATTTTAACAGTTCAAAGGAACTGGATATAAATGTTTTAGGTAAACTATAATAAGTAATTAATATAAATATTGGCAATAGAAAAAAGAAATCAATATTTGTAACATTGATCGGATTTGAATGAGTTGACTATATAATGGTCCCCATTATTAAACTCCTGTAAGACAACTCATTGAATTGCATGTAATAATTTGCTTGGAAAGTTATATCTCTTATCAGAGGGATATTACACCTTAAGCCAAGAGACATCACCTCGAGTAAATATAAAGGCATTAGAGATTTCTCTTTGTGTACTTAATTGTAGCACTAGGCAAGTGACACAAACATATCTGTATATATTGAATAACTTACACACTAGGCAAGTGTCCATTGTATTTGTATAATTTGCATTCATTATCATTTTTGTAAGACTTGGGCAAACCAAGTACTATCCAAAGGAAATCACTCACTTGTTACAATAAGCAAGGGTATTTTTACCTGATTTTTGAAATTCTTGGGCAACATAGCTTCATCTATCAGTTAATTTTGTTTTATACTTTTATGGATCTTTACAGTGTTGTATTATACTCAGGTGACCGTTAAGGCCCTTGGACCTCTTGTACAGAAGTATGCAGGAAAAAATTTCAGATATCTTCTTCTCAAGAACAGCAATGCCATGATTAGTCATATTAATATGGAAGCATCTTCAGGTAGTATAGATTCTAATTTGTTCAAATCATGACCCCTGGGGGATGGTTTGGGCCACATTGGGGGATCAAAGTTTTACATAGGAATATATAGGAAGGAATTTTCTCAAGAATAGCAGTGTTACAAATAGTCATTGATATGGAAGCATCCTTCAGTACTGTATTTCAGTTTTGTTCTGATCATGATCCCTGGGTTGGGGGGGGGGGATGGATTGGGCAACAGTCAGGGTCAAGTTTGGATAGGAATACAGTCGACTCTCGATATGTCGAAGTCGTTGGGACTTATAAAAAACTTCGAGATATCCGGCTGTTCGAGATATCCAAAGTTTGACTTCGATGTTCTTTTGAACGATTCAATATACCACATGCTTTACACATGTATTGAATATTGCACTTTATTCTTTCAAAACAAAAACTATTTGCAAAGAGAGAAGAAAAGAATTAAAATGTTTCCTAAATTAAGTTTTTCTATAAACTATTCACTTCAAACTGAATTGCATTCTTACTTTGTCTTTTTTTTCTGCGATATCGATCAACTACATGGCGTTTACTCATAGTAGGATGTTGCTTACACTGTGTAAATTTGAAACCGGAAACGATAGCCTATATTGAAGACGAGCGGCCCTTGTTAATGAATAAATAAATTGCTAAATAAACTGGTTTATACACCTGAAATTATCGATCGGTGATCGGTTACCTGGTTTGGGTAGGTGTGAAATAGTACTTACCTCGAGGCAATTAATTAATTCCATTAAGACTGCCTACCTGGCGAACACTTGTGATTAACAGAGCGGAAAATAGACCTGACTTCGACATAACCCAGGTAAAATTAACACTTGGGACCTGACAAGTACTTCGAGATAACCGGAGTATTCGAGATTACCGTGTTCGAGATATCCAAAGTTTTTTCAATCATTTATATAGTAAATACGGCCGGGACCGAGGACTTGCTTCGACATATCCGGAGTATTCGACATATCCGTGTTCGAGATACCGAACGTAACCTGTATATAGTTTAATAAAAGTAGTGTTTAGAAGTGTATGGATGATGTCAACATTTAGGATGCATTCAATTGAAAGTAGAATTTTGTATAAAAAATCCTGTGAAGGACATCAAAGCCTTGATTGATCATATTGATACGTAAGCATTCTGAGGTGTGTAGACTCAGTTTTTGTTCAAATCCTGACCCCCTGGGGGTAGTGTGGGGCAAAAATGGGGGATCAGTTTCACATTGGAATATATAATTGGAAAAAATTTTGGTGATGTAGAACAGCCATATTGTTTCAGGTGAGTGTTGTGGCCCATTGGTCTCTTGTTATTGAATTTAACTTGAACAGTATATTTCATTAATTGTTGATTTATTTGCATTGTAGGTATCCATAGCTGGTGAACCAACAGGAGTTGAGATTGCAAGAGCACGTATCAGGGTAATGTGATTTATTGTTAGTAGTGTATGGATGATGTCAACATTTAGCATTCATTTAAAAGTAGAATTTTGTTTGAGGAACTGTAGATAAAACATAATTTTGTGCTAAGATCTGTGGGTGACCTACAATAATTACTCTTTCCATCTCTGTCCATCTGTCTTACTATCCGTCCATCTGGTAGCTATTTAAATTCTGACTCATAACTTTACTACGAAGCCTAAAAGCATCAAAATGTGTCAGCTGATGCACCATGGTAGGTATAATGCACTCTAATGTTAGGTCACTGTGACCTCTAATGAAGATAGTAGTCCAAATTGGCAATTCTGTCTGGTTAATAATAAAAACTATTTAGTCAAGAATCATCAAACATGTTCACTTAATAAATCTCAGGTATAAAATGTGTCTCACCCTAAATTAAGGTCACTCTGATCTTTGAAATGTCATGGCCAAATATGTCAAAACCCTTTTTAGCTCACCTGAGCTGAAGGCTCATGGGAGCTTTTCTGATTGAAATTTGTCCGTTGTCTGTCGTCGTTGTTGTCATCATAAATTTTTAACATTTTCATCTTCTTCTCCAGAACCACTGGGCCAATTTCAACTCGACACAAAGTATCCTTGGGTTAAGGAGATTCCAGTTTGTTCAAATGAAGGGCCACTCCCTCTTCCTACGGGAGATAATTAAGAAATGGTGAAAATTTGATGGTGTCTTTCAAAAATCTTCTCAAGAACCACTGGGCCAAAAAATTGGAAACTTATGTGAAACCATCTCTACATAGTGTAGATTCAAGTTTGTTCAGATCATGACCCCATTGGGTAGGGTGGGGCCATAAGTCTTACATAGGAATATATAGGAAAAATCTCTAGAACAGCAAAGCCATGTTTACTATGGAATGAATAGATTTCATGGTGGCTCGGTTTTCCTGGAATTCATGGGTTCCTCTCATCCACAAATTAACATCCTCCATAAATTAATAAATTAAGGTTACTTAGTCATATTTCCTTCTCTAGGTATGAGATTACACAAAATTACGTCCCCACGAACCTGTAAGATTTTAGCAATCCATGAAAATTGGCCCCCCACGAATTACCATGATTCAACAGTAGTCATATTTATATGGAAGCATCCTCAGGTAGTGTAGATTAAAATTTGTTCAAATCATGACCCCCAGGGGTAGGGTTAGGCCACAATGGGGGATCAGTTTTACATAGGAATATATAGGAAAAAATCTTGAAAATTCTTCTACTCAAGAATAGAAAAGTCTTGCAGAGTCATCTTAATATGGAAGCATCCTCAGGTAGTGTAGATTTTGGTTTGTTCAAATCATGACCCAGAGGGGTAGTGTGGGGCCACAATGGGGGATCAAAGTTTTACATAGGAATATATAGAAAAAGATCTTGAAAAATTTTCTTCTCAGGAACAGCCAAGCCATGATTAGTCATATTATTATGGAAGCATCCTCAGGTAGTGTAGATTCAGATTTGTTCAAATCATGACCCCTGGAGATTGGGTGGGGCTACAATAGGGCATCAAAGTTTTAGATAGGAAAAAATCTTGAAAATTCTTCTTCTCAAGAAAAGCAAATTGTTGTTGAGTCATATTAATATGAAAGCATCCTCACATGTTGTAGATTTAGGTTTGTTCAAATCATGACCCCCAGGGGTAGGGTGGGGCCACAATGGGGGATCAGAGTTATAAAAAAGAATATAAGGGATATATCAATGAAAATTTTCTTCTTAAGAACATCAAAGCCAGTCATTAATTCAGATACAAATGTGCTTGGAGGTAGGGAAGGCTTCAATAGAAGATCAAATGTCGGTACCTTATTTATACTTAAACTTTTCAATACTGAACTGATTTCTGCTTTTTTAAAGCCAAAGTACTCAGGTGAGCAATGTGGCCCATGGGACTCTTGTTATTAAGCTCACCTGAACTCATTCTCAAAGCATTCTTGGGTGAAGGGAATTTATTTTTTTTTAAATGAAGAGCCACATCCTCTTTCAAAGAATAATTAAGAACTAAAACATCTGCTATTGCAAAAAATAGTTCATCCACCCTTAAATGCCCTGAATGCTGCAGTATTGAAATTAAAATTAAAGTAAAGAAGTTTGGACAAAGCACAGTATTCAAAAACACATTACCAGTGACATAATACAAGTGACCCTTGATCTCTCAAAGTTCAAGGGACCTTAAAAAAAGTTCAAGAGATGGAGGGTTCGAGAGATCAAAAGGGGAAGGAAATCCATAATTAATTTTTCAGGTCTGATCATTATGGTTCTGTTATTAGCTCATCTGAGCCGAATGCTCAAGTGAGCTTTTCTGAGCAAAATTTGTTTGTTGTTTGTCATCGTTATCGTTGTTGTCATCGTTGTTGTTGTCATAAACTTTTTACAATTTCATTTTCTTCTGCAGAACCACTGGGCCAATTTCAACCAAACTTGGCACAGAGTATTCCTGGATAAAGGGGATTCAAATTTCTTCAAATGAAGAGCCACACCCTCTTCCAAGGGGAGATAATTAAAAAAAACATAGAAAAAAAACTTTAAAAATCTTCTTCTCAAGGGCAGTACAGCCATGATTTGTGATTTTATTAAAACATTGGATTTTTCCTTACTATAAGGACTAGAATCATCAAATCTTGTCATTTGATGCATCTAAGGATGTCATATCATGTTGACTCAAAAGTAGGTCACGGTAACCTACTTTTTGAATTTTGCATGCATTTGTTTTCAAATTGATTTAGAGGTATATTTTGGATATTTTAAGGCCTATGATCATCAAGCTTTGTCAGTTGATGTATCTTGGGTCCTCAAACTATGTCAACTGAAAAGTAGGTCGCCATGACCAACTTCTTGATTTCTATGGCTAATCTTTTTCAAAATATTTAAGGTAATTATTTCAGATACTGAGAGGTTTAGAATCACCAAACCTTGGAAGTTGATGCATCTTGGGGCCTTAAAACATTTATGAAAAAGTAGGTCACAGTGACCTACTTTTTGAATTTTGCAGGCATTCGTTTTCAAATTGTTTTAGAGGCATATTTTGAAAACTTTAAAACCTATGATGATCAAACTTTGTCAGTCAATACATCTTGGTTCCTTGGAGAACTTCATTTAAAAAATAGGTCACCTTGACCTACTATTGAGATTTTATGGCTATATTTAAGTAATTCAGGTACTAATTGGCTTAAAATCATCAAACTTTGTCAGTAGATGCATCTTGGGTCCTAAGAGATTGTCAATTTTGGTTCCTTGGAGAACTTCATTTAAAAAATAGGTCACCTTGACCTACTTTTGAGATTTTATGGCTTTATTTAAATATTTCAGATACTAATTGGCTTAGAATCATCAAACTTTGTCAGGTGATGCATCTTGGGTTCTCGGAGAATGTCAACTACAAAATAGGTCACTGTGACCTACTTTTGAATGTTTATGGCTATATTTAATTATTTCAGGTACTAATTTGCTTAGAATCATCAATCTTTGTCAGTTGATGAATCTTGGGTTCTCGGAGAATGTCAACTACAAAATAGGTCACCGTGACCTACTTTTGAATGTTTATGGCTATATTTAAATATTTCAGGTACTAATTGGCGTAGAATCATCAAACTTTGTCAGTTGATGAATCTTGGGCCCTTGAAGAATGTCAAGTGAAAAGTAGGTGAATTTGACCTACTTTTGAAAGTTTATGGCTATATTTAAATATTTTTAGATACTTAGAATCATCAAACTTTATCAGGTCCACAGAGTATGTCAAATGAAAGTAGGTCCAAAAGTAGGTCACCGTGACCTACTTCTGGAATATTATGGCTTTACTTAAATATTTCAGGTACTTATTGGCTTACCATAACCTACTTTTGAAAGTTTATGGCTTTATTTCAATATGTTTAGATGAAATATATGGAGATAATGAACAGTATTCAAGCTCAAATGTTCATTAAACATTACAAAATAGGAGCAGAGCGAAACCTCAGAAACATCAGAGGTGGGATCAGGTGCCATGGAGGAGTGAGCATCCCTTGCCGACCTGTCACACCGCCGTGTGCTCTTTGTCATGATCGGGAAATAACAAAAAAATCCATCAACAATTCAGTGTGTAAATAATGGCCTAACAATTAGAATGAAAAACATCAGTCAGCATTTGACTCAATGATAAATTGTATTTGCTGACAAGGTCATTGTATCGACCATAGAACTTATGAAATGATGACTTTAAACGAGACTGCTTATATTCTTGTTTCATCAACTTGTTTGTTAATAATTTACCTCGTTTTAGAAATTGTTCATATGTAGAGCATGCTCTTGCTTATCGAATCAACTGAGAGATATAAACCCTGTATGCAGGTGATGAAGGTATATTGCTGCATAAGTAAGGAAAACTGACAATTGAAAAGTTAAAGTCATCACGTTTATCATAAAGCTTTGTTGTTAGATTACTATTAACGTCTTTTTCAAGTAAAATATCCAAATATGAAACAGATGTGTGAGACTCTGTGGTATCTTTTATCTCAAGCTCACCGGGATATATCGTATCAACATAGGAATGGAAATAACCATTGTTAATTGACAATAAGTCGTCGATATATCTAAATGTCGAGTTGAAGGCCACAGCAAGTGTTTTCTTCTTTTCACGTATAACATTTTGGACAAATTCTGCTTCATATGAATACAAAAATAGGTCTGCTAATAACAGGGCGCAATTGGTACCCATGGGAATTCCAATAGATTGTTGGAAGATCTGGTCTCCAAAAACCACATAGATATTGTCAATCAGAAACTAGAGCATCTTTTAAACGTCAACTTCAGAGTAATTGTGTGTACAATCAGAATGTTTTTTAACAAAATAATTTTGCAAATGACCAATGACAAGGCAAGTAAATTGACGAGTTCCATTTTTATTGAAAAAGCAGCTGTCAGTGATATCAAAAAGCCTGGGCCAAGTTTTACTAAAGGTGGTAAGTCAAAACATAGACGTAAACGTAGACGTAGCCCTAACTTATGCC